TTTCTGAACTTTTTTTTTTTACATTGATTTGTATGAGGATCAAAATGAGATAATATTGAGGCATTCCAAGTGATCTTATTATGCCTTTCAAAAATTTCCTTTTCTTCCTTTAATGGTGGGACAAACAGCTTCATCAAAATGACAGTCGGCAAATCGTGCTTTAAATACATCACCTGTCAGGGGCTCAAGATATCTAATGACAGAGGAGAATCAAAACCAATATATATTCCAAATTTACGCTGATGACTCATTTTAGTGCATTGTGGTGGTGCAATAGAAACATAAATGGCACAACCAAAAACTCGTATGTGAGAGATATTTAGCTGTTGTCCAAACACAAATTGAATGGTGAAAATTTATGATAAACAGTTGGGTGTATGTAATACCCCTAAATTCAAAAGGATAATTCTGATATTTTTATTAAGTATTTTATTGCATTTTAAAATTGTTTAAGTGTGTTTTTTCATTAATTGGTGTATTATTTGATTTTATCTGAATTTATTAGAACTACTTGATATTGTTTAATTTAATTGTTATTAGTTAATTTTATTTGAATTAAATGTTTTATTTTTAGTTTTAATTTAATTGTTTTAATTGTTTATTTTATTTATTTATGTTAATTGGTTTAATGTGTTTTAAATGCATTAATTGTAACTTAGGGTTTTAGGTTTTATCATAGCCGACATTGTTATAACCTAGGATTACCTATGGGCCGAGTGATATTTGTATGGACTTAGGGTTTCTGTAGAGTCTATATATATATATTGTTTATACGTTGATTTAGGGTTACAAATAAAAACCATATTCACCATAATCACGTATACAGTGTGATAGAGAGAAAACAGAGAGAAAGATTGAGAGGAAATACATAGTGAACTTGAGTGATTCAAGGAGGAGTTCGGGACTGAATTAGGAGCAGTAGAGGCTGTTTGATACAACCAAGGTAGCCAAAGAAGATAGAGACAATAGTTGGGGGTTTTTAAACCAAAGTCTCAAGGCAAGTTCTGTTCTTCTCTCTCCCGTTAATTCGTGTTATGTGCATGACTAGTTGGACTCCAGGGGTTAAATAAAGGTTAAAATAGTTTTAAACCAACATAGTAACATGTTTTATGCATGCATGAATTTAGTTTAATCTTTGAATTAACATCGTGAATTATCTGCTTTGAATAATTTTTGATGTTCTGCTATTTATATCATGTATGGTGGATGTTTCAGTTTTGTTGCGGTTGGGATTAGTGATGTGATCAGATGTCTTGTAATCACTCTAAGACTGAGTTTAAACTCTAGAACAAGTGCTTAGAACAATATTTAATTGCACTAAATTAAACTGAAGTAAATTCTGTTGGAACTTGCTTAAAATTGGACAACAGAGGTTCTGTAATCATAGCTTTTAAGCTTGTGTTCCATGCATGTTTTAGTTGAATATCAGTGGTTTAATATATGCCTAGGACTGAGTTTGAACTTGAACAAAGATTTAAAAACATCTCAGAGACTCTGTAATCACCGGAGTTGGAGTAGACGAAGCTGGATCAGGCAACGGTTGCAAAGGGGGAAGGAGCAGGCTCTAAATTACCAATAGAGCCGGCTCAAAGTGGATGGAGCCGGCTCTATAAAGGACTTGGAGCCGGCTCAATGTTGAAGGAGCCGGCTCTAAGTGAATTTTAGAGCAGGCTCAATGTTTTTGTTGAGCCTGCTCTATTCTTGCCTCGCCCAGTAGTGTTTTAAGGGGCTGTTTGGGTTTTCTGGGTTCTGCACTTCATTTAAATTGTTTTAAGTGATGTATGGGACTGTATAAGACTGGTATTATGATGGGAAAAATATAAATTCATAATTGGATTGAAGGATAGAGCAAGGAGAACCTAAGAGGAAACGGGTAGCTTGCACACTGTCTAGTTGGTTTTAATTACTGTAACTTGGCAAAGATATTTTATATAATTTAATTATATATAATCATATATTTTTACAGTGTTATGAGTACGGTAAATTAATTACATTTAACTATACTTAGCTTGGTTTTAAATTGATATTTAATTTGTATCAATTTATTGGTTGTTTTGGAGGATTTAAATACTATGTCTTATTCTAGCTATTTAAATGATTGTAGCATGATATTTAGGTTCTGTAGTGAATACCTAATGTTGGTATATGTATGAATTTATACAAATGCATATACTGGAGGATGGCTGTTGATTATATAGTGTTGTTTTAATAACTATGCTATATGGAGAATTTGTATGTACCGGTATGGGACGGTGACATATTAGGTATGGATTAGTCAAACACTAAATCCTACCTAATTTGGATTAAGGTATGGATTAACCTTATGGGTTAAGTCCATCACCTATTTGTGTCATATCAATCAAATAATTGAATGACTTAATATGGTTTCAGGATGGATTTGCTTTACATTTATCAAACCACTTTTCAGATGGTTGATATTTTGTAATGGGAGGACACAGACTTTATATATTTATTATATGTGCCATGATATGAGCTTGAGTTTCGAGACCATGGTTAGGGTGCGTATATTGCCTAGGATGGATAGCTGGACAGAGGTATTGTTCCCTGGTAAGTCTAGATACACATGACCACAGTATGTGCGATTTACATGGTATCTCTATTCAGGCTGAGACAGACCTTTTTGGACTAGTGAGCGTCCTATAGTGTGTACTTATACATATATGGACTACTCTAGATATTGTTGAGTCTTTCTAGTATGTATCTGCGTATCGGATTCCTGTTTGGATTGTAGTAGATCAGGACTTGCATGTGGGCTTGACCCACCCTTATATTTTTCAGGTACTCGTCAGTTCCAGGGTTAGAGTTTGGACGTGCAGAGCAGATACATCTATTCACTCCTTCGATTATGTAGGGATTTTCTCTTTGTTAGCTTTGGATTTTGTTTTTTATTATTTCAGTATCGTTTGGAGAATTTAAATAAGGGGTCCAATGGATGGATTCCCGAGTTGTAAACTGATGGAGTTTTGGAGTTTAAATTTAACGGTTTTTAAATAATTATATTATTTTAAGGATTTTCAATTAGCATTCTTTCAGCTTATTATTTTTAATTCTTATTTTATCTTGTATTCTGTGTTCGGTTACATACTAATTGTTTGATATTCCCTCGGGCTCGGGCCTGGGCCTGATCAACCCGTGTCTCGGATCCGAGGGGTATCACAGTGTATGCGAAAGAGACATTTTAGAGTGAGAGAGAAATAAACTTCATTCTTATTCTCGTTCAAAGTGTACCCCCAGGGATATAATATAAAACATCTTTTTCTTGCCAACTTGCAAAAGTGGATGGATTGATACCATACTGCCTAATTAGGGCTGCAAATGAACCGAACTATTCATAAAAAGTTCGGGCTCGACTCGCTAAGGACTCGGCTCGGGCTCGTTCGTTAAGCAAATGAGCCGAGCTCGAACCTAATTTTTAGGCTCGTTTAGTAAACGAGCCGAGCTTGAGCAACATTGGACTCGGCTTGCATAGGCTCATGATCATGAGCTCATTTAGGCTTGTTATTGTTCGTGAACAAAGCTCGTATAAGGTTCGTTATAGTTATATATATATATATATATATATATATATATATATATATAGCATAAGTACCTAAAATAAAAAAAGAATAAATTACAAACCTATTGCACACCTGTCACTTTATCATTGGAAATCTCCTTCCATTTTCTGGTATTGACACGAAGCCTTTTTATTTTATGATTCTTATCTCTTGACTCTATCTCCAAGACTCCATCTCCTAAAATCAAATTACTTTATTTATTTTTTACAAAGGTAAAGAAGCTGATATATCGATTCATCTATCTAAAACTCCACAAGTCTCCAACGAAGACGAGAGACGATTTATCTTCTGGAGTGAGTGATTCGTCTTCTTTGCCTCTTTTTCTAAAGTCCCTTGTAAAGTCCCTTGGGGCCAATTGGTTGTGAGGGTTTCATTCAGATTCATCTTCTGGAGTGAGGGTTAAGTGATTTATCTTCTTCGCCTCTTCTTCTAAAGTCCCTTGGTGCCATTCGGTTGCGTTACCTGAAGCTTGACAGTCTCGTCTCGATCTTCTGGAGTGAGGGTTCCATTTAGCTTGACATTATTATTTTTATATATAATATTAATCTGATTCAGTAACCAAAAAAAAAAAAAAAAACTTTGAATTTGGGTTTTAGTTATTTTGCTAAACGAGCCGAGCTCGAGCTTTTAAAATTAAGACGAGCCCGAGCCCGAGTCCGAGTCCGAGTCCGAGTCCGAGCTCAAATTTTTGAGCTTGTCATGAGCCGAGCGCGAGCCTGAGCCCGAACACACCCTATAAACAAACGAGTCGAGCCCGAACAGACCGAAGCTCGACTCGATTCAGTTGCAGCCCTATGCCTAATTATACAAGTTTCTTTCTTTTGCGTACCATCATTACCCCGTGCATACATAGTGATAAAGTTGTGAGCCCTATTATATATAACACAATAATAATAATAATATTAATATTGATGCAAGGCTCTTATAATTTTGAGACGTAACGGTTTACCACTTATGAATTCGTTTTTACATGCCACCATTACCATTTATATACGTAGTAATAAAGTGGATCCCATTATATATATATATATATGACACAAAAATAATAATAATATTGATGCAACGCTTTTATAATTTTGAGAGGTTTACCACTTATGAATTGAATTCTCACTTCTAAGACTTCCAAGAAGAGTGGCTCCAAAATCTCCAGAGGGTCAACGTGTCAAGGCCTGCATGGAGCAACTGGCATGAACCAATAACAAAAGTGTGTGTGTGTGTTGTGTGTGTGTGTGTATACCTCGAGTGACCAGGACTGCGAGTCATTTGGAGTTTGGTACATAAATAATACATAAATTTTTTTAATGTGGAAGCTAAAGCTTCGCCAAGTTAGTTATCGAAAGAAGTGGTCTTACTCATCACCCTCGTCCCCTTTAAAAGGACACTTCATGAACACACAAACGAATTAAAATTCACACACACAAACACACACAGACAGAGATACAGAGAGATGGGTGAGAGAGCACCAGCTAGTGAGAAGGCATCGGAGGAAGCTATGGCAACAGTGGCCGATAGATCACCTGTTACTGCTGAGAGAAAGGTCCGAGCAGACTTGGAGTCTAAGCTTCCTAAGCCATGTATTCATCTCTCAATCTTCATCTATTGCTTTAATTGTACACAACCTTTTTTTTTTTTACATTCATGCTTGTAGTCAATCAATTAAAAAATAAAAATAAAAATAAAAATTGGGTTACTTAAAAGTTTTAACATTAGAACTGTTTGGATCTTAGTTAATTAATCTTCTTCTTCTTCTTTTTATTTTATTTTATTTTTTTATCTGGGTTCGTCCAAAATCATGTCAACATGATTTGTATTTGCGTATTACAATGTCCAAACCAAAACACACACAAAATTAGGGCCTCCTGGTTGTGGAGCATATGTTAATGTGTTATATATTATTGAAAATTTTGGATTGACATGGGCTGCGGGAAAATATATAGGCACATGCCAAGCACCTAAGGTCCAAATCATTCAATTACTTATTTGGAAGCATCGAATCGATTCATTGAATTTGGAATTGGAGGAAATTTAGTTCAAACTTTGTACTAAATTTCTTGTAATTCCAAATTCAAAGCACCATTTTGATGTTCCCAAACTCAAGTTAAAAATAAACAAAAGCTAATTATTTGATTTAATTAGGGGAGCGTTGTTAATCCAGAATTAGGGAATAACAGTAATTGGAAATTAATATTGAGAATCATTGATCAGTGGGAATAGCTTATGAAGTGATTTCAACCCAAACATATCCTCAAATAGCCCCATAAATTACAATGAAAAAAGTATATGTAGAACCAATGTTGTATAAGAACCGATGTTATCTGAATCTGAAATGGTTGGATTGTCGTTCCTCGATCAATATACTCTTGCATGTGTGTTTCGTTATTCAGACCTGCCTCGAGCTTTGGCTGCACCTGATACAGAGAATGTGAATGGTACATGGGGTCACAAGCATCACAACATGTCTGTGCTTCAACAGCATGTTGCCTTCTTCGACCAAGATGGTGACGGTATCATCTATCCTCAGGGGACATTTCAAGGTATGCCATGTACAATTTTGAAAATAAATAAATAAATTTCATTATCATTGCGAAATGACTCTTTTTCTTGCTATTTTTTTCTTCGGTTACTTGATGTAACTCTTATTGCGAAATAAAGATTTGCACTTTATTTGGAATGCTAGATTTGATGGAATTTGGATTTGAAAATAGGATTTGCCTTGTTTGGAACCACGGAATTACAAAGCGATTTGGGGGAAACATTTCCTTAATTAACCTTCCAACTTATTCTTGTTATTAATCTTCTTATTAAACCCTATCCTAAAAATCTACTATCATATCTCAATCTCTAATTTTTCCTATTCTCTTATTTAACTAAATCCTTCCTATTCTCTTATTTAACTGAATCCATGCTACTTCGTTCTCTATATAATAATTCCATTGTTTTTAATCTATAGATATATATTTTTGCTACTTCGTTCTCTATATAATTATTTTTTTCTCTGAGTGTTGAGCATATTAATAAAATGCATATTCAAGTCTTTTGTGTATTTTGATTTTATTTTTTTTTTTATATTTATTCGTCTTCATCTGGAATTTTATTTAGGTTATAACCAAAAGTTATGGAATCCGTATCCACCACCACAAATTTTGGAGTAAGATATCGATTTGCAGTGGGTTGAATGAGTATATACAAATTTGACCAATGTTGGTTTAATTACGACCCGAAAAGGATATAGTTTGGCGATTTAATTACGAATAATCAACAATGAGGGATAAATAAAATGAGAAGAAAAACTCAAAACATAATATCAGTTATACTCAGGCCACAATCAGGATCAAAATATTACTTTACAAGTGTTAGCATTGATAGTTTATAATATCCTATAGATTTGTATTCTTAATTTTCAATCTTTTTTTAAAACCATTCATATTTATTTTTGACTTGGAATATCATATATTATATAATAACTTATTTTTTTTTTGGAAAATATAATTTATTCAATGAGGGATAACTGAATAAAATACAAAGATACAAGAGCCAAATACCAAAATGGAAAAACAGGGGCCTATGCCCTGTTTTAATAACTTAATATAAAGATTTTTTATTTTAAAAAAAAAAAAAATTCATAAACTGAGCTTTGTTATTTTTGAGTTGGCAAGGTACATTCACTAGATGAATCCACTGTTGATATAGTAACTTGTTATGAATTTGCTGCACTCTAGCTTTGGGGTTCCAATGCTTACAACTTCTAAATTTCACTGTCTTCAGGATTCCGAAGCGTTGGTTTCAACGTGATCGTTTCTTTCATTGCGATGATACTTATTCATGGAGCAATGAGTTATGCTACACTGCCAGTACGTTGTCACTTGTTGATGTTTGTAAACTCATAGCCGCATTTCAGCAATGGGCTTACTTATGATTTCTTTATAATTTTTTTTTTTTTTAATCTTTTGGCAGACTTGGCTCCCTTCACCCTTCTTCCCTATATACATACACAACATACATAAGGCCAAGCACGGAGGCGATTCAGGGACCTATGACACCGAGGGAAGGTGAGAAAAAAAAACAGTCCAAGCCCTTGTGACTTCCATCCATTGATGAAAAAATATTCAAACAATTACTTTTGTTTGCCTGTTTCTAGTGTTTGTTGGATGGTAGTAATTACTAGTTAGTCTGTCTTAGTAGAGGGGAACTATCCAATAATTCACCAATTTTAAGGGAATCCCATTTATGATTAGTATTTCTCATGCCAAAAGTAGAAGTATTCACGATTGAAAACTCTTGGGGATGTTAATGCTTCTAATACAGTCGGAAATTGGTTCCCAAATCCATTACCTATGTGACGTCCTTTGTTCCTTCTTGGCCATGTTTCCAACCATGCCAATTTGTCATGTTTAAGTTAAAACTGAATTTTGAGTCTCAACTAAGTTTTTTATTTTTTGTATATATTTTTTTGTCGATATGGTGATGTCGGGTCTCTTAGAGCACCCCATAATCCACCACGGGTCACATGCAGTCCCCCGTCCCACATGTACCGAGCAATTATGGGAAAAATTCCCTGACATATGCAGGGGTGCATAATACCTTCTAAGACATTCTGTTGCTGTCCGTTACTTGCAGGTTCATTCCAGCAAATCTTGAGAACATGTTCAGCAAATATGCTCGTACAATGCCCGATAAGCTTACCCTGAAGGAACTCTGGCACATGACTGAAGCCAATCGCGACGTATTTGATATCTTTGGCCGGTCTCTCTCTCTCTCTCTATATATATATATAGCATTATATTCAGTATATTAAACATGCTTGTTAACTTCATATCATTGTCATAGGTTTGCAAGCAAGTTGGAGTGGGGATTTCTTTATGCTCTTGCTAAGGATGCAGAAGGATTCTTATCGAAAGAAGCCGTGAGACGTTGCTTTGATGGAAGTTTATTCGAGTATTGCGCGAAGATGCAGAAGGGTGCTGTTGGTAAGATGGAATGATATGTCTAAGTGAGCTTCAATGTTTAAATCCAGCTAAAGATATCATCATATTCATGCTGAATATTATTACTTATCAAAAAAGAAAAGAAAAAGAAAATGCTGTTTTTCGGAAAAATAAATTCAGCATTTAAAACTGAATATTGTATACATGATTTCAATACCAGTTAAATGCATGATTTGTAACTTGTAATGCACATTGTGGCAGAAGATCAGCAGACTTTTGTTGTTGTTGCATGATTGAAATAAAAGTCAATATATCATTAATTGGCATAAAACATTAGGTTTCTAAAGCCATATATATGGCTACAGATTTTATTAAATGATGATATTAGCTTCAATAATAATAAAAAAGAAGATATTACAATTAAAATTAAGCTTGAGAAATAGAGAACACTAACAAGACAAGAACCTCAAAGAGGGAATTATTCATCCTCAAAAGCAAATCTTCAGCTTTCACCAATCTGCATTCAATTAAACAATACAAATCTCAGTATTTAAAACCTAGGGTATGATATTTGTAGTCCACTTTGGTACACTAAAAAGAAATGTATGTAAGACTACTTCAAAAAGAAGTGTAAGAGTACTTATAATATTTTTTGATCAAGATTATAAACTTTGAGGAGAAAAAAAAAAGATTCATGGTGATATGGTAAATCTATACTTACCATCTTTTTTCTTTCCACAAGACCTAATGAAGTAAAAAAATAGAAGCACAAAGAACAAAGCAGCTGCACCTCCCACAACAATTGCTACTAATCTCCCTGAAGTGTTTCCCGTTCCATTCTCTAAAAAAGCCAACAATTTCATTGAAATTTATTAAAATGGAAAATGCTTAGTTATATTAGAAAGGCAAGATAATAAACAGAGTAATGCTAATAATAATAATAATAAAAAGCCTAGGCCAATTGAACATAAAGAAAGAATAATAAACAATCATATAGTTGCATTTGTGTAGTTCTCACATGAGTCATCTCAGGGACGGACCAGAAAATTATGCGAGTGGGGACAATAATGAATATATTTTTAGTAATTTCAGTTGAGTGGAGGTATATACGTCCGCGCGTGAGTCATCTTATTAATGTCTATTAGCCATTTCCCTCTACTCAAATTTAAGTCATATGTTTTTAAAATGCAAGCGGAAAGATCATGTCACGTCTCACATCAATTGAAGGAAAAAATTGTTAGTACTTATAAGAGGAAACTGTCTACGTACATACATTTTAAAAAATAAAGTTTATAGAGTGTGAGGTGGGTTTTGGCAGCTCAGTAGCTGTGGTACAAACCATGTAAGATTGCCCTTGTGATTAGGCACGGACCCAATTCAGGTAAGAGGAGGCGGATGCCCCCCACTAGATTTTTTTTAATTTACATTATTATTTATAGTTTCAATTAAAATTTTAAAAATGCCCCTACTCAATTTTTCCAATTTATATTATTACCTATAGTTTCAACTAAAATTTTAAAAATGCCCCCACTAAATTTTTCCCAATTTACATTATTACCTATAGTTTCAAATAAAATTTCAAAAATTCCCCCACTCAATTTTTTAAAATACTCCATTTCACATTTTTACCCCACTAATTTTTTTTTTTTTTTTTTTTTTTTAATTCTTATACTTATTATTTTATTTTCGATCATTTATCTTCAATTTTATTTATTCTTCAACAACATCTCCTCAAAAAAATTTCTGGATCCGTCACCGCAGTTGTGATGGCGTTTTCTATTTTCTTAAATACAACATATTTTTGCACAGTGAAGTTCTACCTAAATGAAAAAGGAAGGAATATATATATATATATGTGTGTGTGTGAGAGAGAGAGAGAGAAAGAGCTTACCTTTATATGAGTCGCTTGGCATCCCATTTCGATAGTAACTATAGCTAATAAAGCAGTTGCCCAAATAAACTTGGCCCGAAAGTGAGTATCCACATTCATCCAGAGCTATTCTTGCAGCATAGCTCACACACTCACCGCACTCACAATCTCCCAAACTCCCCCCACACTGTGCCATCACACGCATAGACTCATAGCTCATGTCACAAAACCCATGCCCACTCATCACACCACTTTCGAGTGCCGCGAAAGCACCCTCACGCAGCTCTTCAAATCCACTTGAAACCGCTTTCGATTCGCTGCAAGTCTTGTGAAGCAATTCGAGTCCAGAGCTCTCAGACCCGTCGACCTCATAGTGTACATAGCACCCGGAGAGCTGGACCCGAGCTGGAATCGTGTCGCCACACAAAGTGTTTGATAATTCTGGAAGTTTGGTCACGCAGTTGTTGCAGTCGCCGTTACTGAGGTCCTCTCTGCACTGAAAGAGGCCGGAAATGGCAGCGTTGTCATCGCCAATATAGGTTTCGAAGAACTTAGATTTGGAGGACTGAGCAATGAGTTCTTGGAAAAGGTTTGAAAGCAATTCTGGGGGAGGATTGCTTTGATCGGTGTGTGTTTGGTTTACGCAGTTTTTGTAGACTAGGTTGTTGTAGTCTAAAATGGTGTTGGGAGATGGCAAAATGAGACCAAAACAGAGGAAGAAAATCAGAGTGAAACACTGAAGATAACATTGTACTTTTGGGTGTGAAGCCATCTGAGATTTGATTGATGTTTTGTCAATTCAAATGGGATTTATTCTGATTTTTGGTTGGTTTAAAACATGGGAGATTTGGACATTTGGATAGAGATATAGTGAAATAGTGTGTGTTGGGTTATGTGTGTGTTTTTCCCTCCTAACTCCATCTAATTTTGGTGGAACTTTGAGAATTCTATCACTACACGCTTAGTAGACCTATGCTTCCATTTAGGAGTAATAATATAAATAACAATTGATTTTTGGGCCAATTCCAATAAGTAATCAGCAATGAACTAACATAGATTTTCTTTTATGTCTAAGTGTTTATCTCAATGATTATCACATTAATTGAAAACAAAAATAGAATTTTATTTATTTATTTATTATTTATTTAATTAGGAATACTAAAACTACCCATTTATTATATATGATGGTCGTTGAACTTGTTTGAATTTGAGCTCAAACTTTATCCAAGCTGAAGTAATCATAAATACTTTCTGTAGATTTGACCATTAATTGAGTCTACCTTCTCACTAGTCTTACCAGCTATTTGTATTTATATTAGATTTTAGCACTTTTAGCAGTGCAAGTTAATGTTGTAAGTAAACCCTCAAATAGTTGAATTAAGAACAGATCTAATTCAATGCGTAAAAAAATAATAATAAATAAGAATATAGACCCCAATAATAATATACACACATGTGAATACCAAAAAAATAAAAATAAAATAAAATACTAAATTTGGAGTTCCTAAGAGACTTGAGAACAATATTGATTTGTAGCCATGCACTCTCCACTCTTCATAACGGACAAAAACTACAAAATAAGTAATAATTCAAAATTTCTGAACAAAAATAGTTGGCGTGCGGATGGAAAATTTTATTTTCTTCCAATCTATATATAAATATAAATATATAATTGTGATCTCCCCCTTCGGTCTGTTGAGCTCTGGCTGCTTTATCCTTTGTTAATTTCATATTCAATATTATGCTCCATCGCATATTTTAAAATTTCTAATATCTTTTGGTTTACAAAATGCAAAATATATATATATATCTCAACCTTGAGCACATAAACCAGCATAAGGCGAGCAAAGTATCTAACACGAGCTTCCCAAATAAGCAAAGCAAACTTCTAAAAGCCAAGATCATCTCCTAGTCGTCGGGTTGTAAAAGGCGTCAATCTATTTCAGGTGGGTCTGGTGCAAGAAAAATTGTTGGGATAAAAAGCTGAAAGTTATGGGGGATGGTGCCGTAAGTAACTTGGTTGATCTGTGTCCGTCAGTTGGTTTAGAATGTACAAATTTCGCTTCGTCTGGAAGGTCGGGGGCACAGGCAAATGACTCCTTTACGTCGGAATCGTCTCAATCGTTTGCCACTAAACTTGCTCTGTTGGTTGGTGATGGTCCGTCCAATGGCCCAGAACCCGTTTAAGCTTAGGATTTCTCATGATAGATGTCATGTCCCAGCTTAGTGTTAGGTTTCTTTGGGGTGGTTTTGGGATGTTTTGTGTTTTTTGTGGTTCATGGTTTATCCTGTGCTTGGTTCTTGATCTTGTAATGGTGGGCTGTTTGTTTGCCAGGTTAAAAAAAAAAAATAAGCAAAGCATTAAATCAACACACCTTTATCAAAAATTACATCAGATTCAGTAAATCAAAAAATAAAATCAAATTTGATGGAAAAAATAGAAGTTACATTCATTAACAAGTCAGTAAATCAACGCACCTTTATCAAAAATTATAAATTCTGGAAACCCAAACCAGTCAATCAAACATTCATTAAATCAAACTCAGTCTGTTCACCTCTTGATGGAGGAAATGGTAGAAAAAGTTTAGGAACTCGCTAATAGCAAAACTCTTACAGGGCCATGGTGCCAGCCAAGTTTGAATTCTAAAAGACAAAACCAGCTTTTTAAAAGTCAATACAAAGAGAACCTAAGACTCATCCATGAAAATGATTTCCATTTAACATGTAAAAGGATATTCCATTCCAAAACTACTGTGAAATTGAAATAATTGCTAAATAGGGAGTATTATAACCAGGTGAATAGTGAGTATCAATTCTCATCATGAAGGTAGATAGACAATTGTTAAAAAAATTCAATTTCAGTTTTATAATGGTTAGTGACGAGCAAATAAACTCTTACCCTTATTTATAGGCACGAGAGTTTACAACCCACGTTTACCATCTATACAATTGATTTCAATTTAAGGGGTGGAAGAATTATAGAATTTATTCTAAAATAATCCAAAAGAATATTTAAGATATTTACCAACATTTAGACCAAATTTTCTACATATTTCTACATATTCTATACAAGTTTAAGACATTATAATGCTGATATATGATATTATTTACTCAATTTATCATTGATTCTAAGATAATCCAAAAGAATATCTTAAGATATTTACCAGCAGTCCACAAAATTCTATACATCTCTATCAATTCAAAACAAGTTTAAGACATTCAGATACTTATATGTGTCATCTATATAGTCTTTTTTTAAAATAAAGGCAGAGATCATATAATATTATATTCATTTCAAATTGATCCCATTTTACTTCAAAAAAAAAAAAAAAAAAAAAAAAAAAAAAATTGTAATTCATACCCTTTCAAATCCAATTTATTTTAACATACAAATAGAATTTCATTTCAATTTCAATTCCTTATTAGCTAGGCTTGATATTATATTTTCTTTATCTTAATTTTTTAAGAAAGTTTAACTTTAGGTAGTCTTTTTATATTTTTAGATTCCTTATACTATAAGTTCCTTAAGCAATTAGTTTTCTTAAGTTGTTAGGTTCCTTAGTCACTAAGTTTTTTATTTATTATAAGGGTTAACTATAATGAACTCCCCAAGGTTTGTTATATTGATAGCCATATATAAGGTAGCCTATTTTTGAACAATGACACCTCCTGTCAGATTTGGCATCCAAACAAAACCTAAAAACTTGTAAAAAGTCTAATTTACCTTTCATTATTTTATTAAATTTTTAATATAAAATATCCAAATACTCGAATGACTAAGTTGCCCTTCTGCTATTCATTCACGTCTCTCTTCGTACGCAAATCTCATTTCTCTATCTTTTCTAACCCTAACAATGTTTTCACCAGTTAGATTATCACTCTACCTAACCTTTGATCATGACAAACTCAAAAAATTTCACTAATGATGACAACCACCACCACCAGCGATCGGCGGTGACAATCAGATCGGCATCGATGATCTTGGCATCTAGGCCGAAGAGTACCTTTTTCTCATGCTATGCTCCCATCTACTCCTCTCTATGTGTCCGTATATACTATTGCAATCAACGTCAATGTACGGTTATATAGGCAAGGGTGGTCTCTGTAATTGCTGCGCTGCTAATCTTTGATGAGTGGGATACTTTTCGAAGATCCATCTACGACATCACAAATTCATTTGTCTTTTCTTGTTTGTTCTACCATGAGGCCCCTTCGAAAAGGGATTCAGTATCCACGGAGATCGATGCCTCTTTTACCCCCATAGAACCTGATTGTTGTTAATTATCTCTATCAATGAAGTGAGAAGTAAGTTCACCCCTTTTCTTTTCTTTGTTGATCGTGTAGACGTGGTCATTTGGCTTCCTCTTCAGGAAATTAAAGTTTAAGAGCCAGTGGTCCTTGGTTGGTGACTAATTCTTTGCTTAGTAGCTTATATATATATATATATATATATATATATATATATATATATATATGCTTGTGTATGCAATTGAATTGAAAAAAGAGAGTTTCAATTCGTACTATGTGTGTGTGTGTGTGTATATAAATGCAATTAATTTTTTTTTTTTTTTTCCAAAAACTGACTAAGCGGACCCGTAAGTTGATTACAAGTGGACTGTGGGACTAATTCTTTGCTTAGTAGCACGTGCACACACACACATATATTATAATGACCCGGTCATTTTCCTTCATCTCATTTTTTTCCAATTTTACGGATTAATTTTTTTTTTTCGTTGAAATTTCCTTTTGAGTAACCTTACTTTTCATGTTCGGAGTTGAGTTTTGACTTCATGAGTTTCCATTCCAGTTGTTTTCCTCCAAACGCATAGATTTACTTTTGGAGAAAAGCTCGCCGGTTGTTTCTTTTTCTCGCAGGGGCGTGGATGAAAGGAATCTTCAGAAACATTGATGTTTCTTGGGGTGTTTTTGTAATACCCCTAATTTTTAAAGGATAGTTCTGTAATTTATTTTAATTATTTATGTGCATTTTAAATACATTCATTTGCTCGTTTTGATTAATTAATTATTTGCTTGATTATTTGAATTAAATGATTTAATTGTAATATTTGTTTAATTACTTGTATTCTTATTTAATTGTGATTTAGTTTAATTACTTGTATTTTTATTTATTTAAATTAAATTGTAGTTTAATTAAGTTAAAGGATTTATGTATATTTAGCCGACATATGTTATAACTTAGGTTTTCTTGGGTCGACTAAGGGTTTCATTAGGGCTCTAATTATACAAGGATTATGGTTGGAGTATTGAGCCTATAAATATATTCTTTATGTGGGTTTAGGATTTTAGAAAACAAAACACATAAACTCTTTTCACGTTACAGAGGGATACGGAGAGTTGTGATGGCAGAGAAACAGAGAGGGAGTTTGAGTAATTTACAGAGAGGCTTAAGGTGGAAGGAGTGGAGTGCTTCTGGGTTGAACCAAGAGCACCGGAGGAGTGGAACGATAGTCTAAGACGTTGTCAGAAACTTTAGAGACGGTGGATTACAGTTTCAAAATCTGAAACTACAGAGGCAAGTCTCTGTTCTTCTCTCTCCCGTTAATTCGTGTTCTGTGCATGCCTAGTTAAGACTCTAGGGATTAATCAAAGATTAAAAATAGATGAAACGAATGTTATGATTCATCTAATATGCATGTTTAAATCAGTTTTTAGTTCCATTGAATTAATCTGTTTTAGTGTTGCTTAAAAGTTTTAACTGAAATCTTGTTGCGGTTTGTTTTAAATCTCGTGTTAAATTCTTGTTGTGAATAT